CCCCCCCCCCCCCCCCCCCCTTTACCCACCTCTGTTGTTGCTGCCAGGGAAAAGGCAGCAGATCCAAACTGCACCAAGTAACAGGCCCCTCTCCATATCCCTGCCAAAGGAGCGGGAAGCGGAGAGACATTCTGTGGGTCTTCTCGCTCCGGGCCCATCCCACTGTTTCCCTGAGGTTCGCCAATTTCCCCGGGACTGCTTTCCCAACAATGTCTCTCATAGCCAGGGACCACATGTCACTGCGAGGAACAGAGCGACCTGTTACACTCGGAGTAAAGCTCCCTCTACACCGTCCCTCCCCATCAAACACTCCCAGGGACAGGGGGTTAGACACAGGGTAAAGCTCCCTCTACACCGTCCCTCCCCATCAAACACTCCCAGGGCCTCTAGAGACATGAGGGACGGAGAGACACTCTCCCCTAGCAACAGGGTAATGACTGACTGACTGAACCAGCCTTAAAGCTCCCTGCACCCCACCCCTACCACCCCAGCTCCTCCACACAGCTCCCGGTACCTGGAACACACCTCCCCCTAGCTACAGGACACACCGACCATCATGTTGGGGGTGGGAGAAAGCAGTGGGTCGATGGTTTAGCCCAGGACTGGTCTCGCCTGTTCTATCCTTCCCCTATCCCCCTTCCACCCCCACCTAGTGTACCCCTCCGTGCAAACACACACAGCTCCAGCCTCAAAACCCTCCCCCCAGAATCTCTGAACAAACCAGCCTGAGACTTTTTCCGCAAATTCCTTCCTCAAATCAGCACGAGACCTTTGAGCAAAGGAGAACACAAGTTTATTCCACAGATGAGTTTGTGTAGACAAATGCAGCGTTGGCACAAGCACATAGGAACACAGAACTTTAGCGTACGTTTAACACAACTCAGATAAACACTGTGAAGTCGGCGCGTCTGAACGAGGTGGAGATTTAGACAAACGACAACAAATACATTGTCCAAATGCACAGGCCGTGTTTACAATATAACAGAGAGCCAACGAACATCAGTGTGTGGCACAATCAGATGGAAGTGCGCATGTGTGACAGAGCCAGACGTGAGTTTCTGAAGGATTCCCAGTGACGGATGATGTTACAAGGCTGTTCAACTGTGGCATCGGCACACACTACAGACAGGAGCCTGCCTCCGCTGGGTTCTGGGAATGTCGCCCCATCACGCACAGACACAGTCACAGCATCACCCCCCCCCCCGCCCCCCCCACACCCCCCCCCGCCCACCCGCCCCCCGACTCCGCAGCAGAAAAGACCCCCACCCCCACACCCC